CTTTGAAGAAAAACAGGACAAAGTACATGATTTAGGATTAAAACTTAATAATACTCCATGGTGTGTTCTTCCCATCACTATACATTGTGGCTGGGTGGTAATATATGCTTTACAAATATAAACATTTATGCATAAACAACATACATTAATTCATTCGCATAAGTCATCATTACTGGTTTTGTTCTGTAGCCTGTCCGTTATTGGATATAAATTAACATTTTATTGACCCTCCTCTGGGTAATCTAAAAAAATTCTGTTACCGTATTGATTAGCTTGAGAAAAAGGCCCTGATTTGATTAAATCCAGAACACTGCTGGTATATAAACTTAATGAAGTAAAGGTCCAGATAATGTTGAGATTGGCTAAATAAATTTGAATAAAAACAACAACAACATTTGTTTTATTTTTCATTTGTTTTATTTTTCTATAGATTACGTTAATTCTTTAACAAAATTACGTAAAAATTCAAAAAATATCCACTGGACTTGGTTTCCAAGATTTGAAAACGTCTTCAAATCTTGGAAACCAAGTCCAGTGGATATTTTTTAAATTTTTACGGAATGACTATGAGCTGGATGACTGAGAACCTTCATCAGCATATTCTTTAACAAAATTTTTGTTTGAACTGCGACTTTTTCATGCAACTAGCAAAAAAAAAGTAACCTTTTTTTTTTTTTTTTTTTGCTACAGTAGTTGCATGAATTGTGTTTTACCGCGCTCACGTAGACCTGGGAAAAAAAAAAAACAGTCTAAACAATTAAAAACAGTAAAATTAAAAAGTAATTTTTTTTTTTATTTGTGTGTGTATTAGGATAGAGGTTAGGCCTTCTTTATTGTGGTAAAAAAAAGGAAAAACAAGAAAAAAAGTGATATAAGAAGCAAAATAAACAAATACATTTAGAAAAGATAAATAAAAATATTACAAAAAATCCACATGAAACTACTAAAGAAGATCCTGAGAATTTAAAACATGAATAGCAAAGTTTTTTTAAAATAAAAAAATAGTTATTTCATTTAGAAGTCTGAGGGACAGAGGAGGAAAAGTTATTAAAAAGCCTTCATTGGTACATGGCTACTTTGATTTAAAACATGCTAAGTTTTGGCCTGAAAGGCCTTCAACTGGGCAAAGGCAAAAGGTTTGTCAGTCTGCTGTAGTTTCAGTTAAAAAACAAAAATCAAAGACAGCTGCTCAGTCTGAGCAGGTACGTTGTCACATAATCACTAATACCTGTCAATGAAAAAACATTAGACAGATAAAAACACAAAAAAAAAACATACACATCTTTTTATATAAATAGGACACAGAAAAAGAGACAGCATTTTTACCAAAACGTATATATAAACTAACAGAATAAGAGTAGAAACTGTTCTAAATCCCCCAAAAAACTGCATATCCTCAGGTAACAAGAAAGAATGATGGCAAAGAGACTACAAAAAAAAGGGGAAGGTCGAGTTCTTCCAATGTAAAAATGGCCTGATGGACGTTCAGTTTTGTATACAATGCATCTGGTGCTGCAGTTGATAAGAACATCAAATTTGTAACCAGGTGCAATATCAGTAAAATAATGATTTTAGAAAGCCAGGTCTGATGCTGTACAGGAGGAAGATTAGTTTTCACTAGTTTATCATTCAGAGCTTTTCTAAAGTTGATAGTAAGAGCATCTGGGAGGGATTTTCTAAGAACAGTGTGTACCAGATTCTTTTGATGATTTGTTTAATTCTGTTTGCTTGGTTGCTATATTGTGTGACAAAATACACCTAAATCGAATTAGGTTAATCTTTCTATTTTTGGGAAATAACAGTTTTTTCCTCTAGGGATGGAATTTGCTTTATTGTATTATTTTTTTTCAGGTTGTTACCTTGCATCTCAAATCTCTGTCTCATGTTGACACAGAACTGACCTTTTAAACCAGCAGGAAAAGACTAACATTAGAATAGTGCTCTAAACCAAAATGAACAAATAACAGAACTCACCAATCAACTGACATGCTTAGTACATAGCATGTATGGAAAAACCTAAATGACAATAATAAACAACTCAAAATCATAAAAATGTACAAACAAGTGAGAACCAAAAGCACAAAAATGGACAGGGTTTTGACAACAAATATTTATCAATCTCAATACAGCAACGGTTTGGTGACAAAATAACAGAAGAGAATAATAAGAATAGATTTTTTTTTTATAACACTGTATATTAAAATTATTTTTATCAGTATCAATATACCCAGTGGTATAGTAAATATGATTAAAATTGTCAGCTGGTTAAACTATCGGCTTGGTGTGTCATTTCAGATGCCCCCTTATTTAGGGGTCTCCATAGCAAGTTATTTAAAAGAGCACACAGACATCTGAATAAAACCTTGGCTCAATGCACCACAGAGGTTTAAGCAAAAACAATAATCTACAGCATAAAACTCTTGACTTTAATACGGTTTGTTTTCCCAAAGCAAGGTACCCCTGATGCTGCAGCTGCAGGGGTCCACCACTTGAACAAGCAGAGCCGATGAGAAACTTTACAAAAATAAGGGGATGCTGGGTTCATGCATAAGGTTATTAGAAAGAAGAGAGGGTGAGCTAGCTTTTACTCCCTACCATTCCTAAAAAAAAAAAGAGTTATAACTGGACAGTGATAAATGCACCAACTTACCGTGGCTTGCAACAAATTTAACACCCCTTTTATTTAATGTTGATCAGGATACCAACCAAAATTCCAATGTATTTTGGAGGATTTTATGATTTATCACACAAAATATGGTATAAATATACAGTGGAAGTCAAAGATATTTGGTTCTTTTTTTTTTATCAGCAAAAATGTAAAAAGTGCAACTATTGGTTGTCAGACCAGTTCAGTCAGTATGCTGTAGAGCTGCTGTGGACAAAAAATATAGCTGAAAGCTGGATTATAGTTGTAAATATGAGAATAAAATATTGTCAACGAAGAAAGACCAAAAAGTAAAACATGGAAAGTGAAACATTTCTAACAAAATATTTCAGGCTGTAAAGAGACAGTCTGTAAAAACTGATTTCCAACACTTGCCACTGATTCTTAATTGTATTTGGGTTCATCTATCCACAGGAAAGCCTCTCCAAACCATGATGAGCATTTGTCATACTGTGGGTATGGCTTGAAGCAAACTATATTTTGCTAAATGAATGAAAGAACACCTGTATTCTGTTCCACCAATGCTTAAATTAAGATTGTGGCTGTAACACAACTTCTGTGAAACTCAACTCCTCCATGGGGCTCTTGGCTGTTTTCAGAGCATTTGTGTTTATTACTTAGTGTTTTGTTTTAATAACCTACCGTTAGCCTTTAACTTTTATCTCAGCCATGTCTCCTGAGGTCATTTTTCATTATACTACTGTTTATTATATTTCATTGTAATATTATTTGACAAACATCTGCAACAAAAGCTGGGTTTATTCTGAGATAAAGTTACACTAAGGTGAACTTGACCAGGTGACTTCTATAGGCAGTTGCCTGCACTTTATTTATTGGAGTCAGATGACACACTCTTCCAATTTTCAGTTCAAATATTTTGAAATACATATATATTTTTTGTAATTATGTGCAACAATGTGTTGATCTAATGCATTAAGTACCACATAAAATATTTTTGGGAACAGCTGGAGTATCAAGGTCAAGTCAAGTTGGCATGATGAGCCCACTAGGGGTCACCGATCAACAAGTATCTGGTCTTGAAATCCTCTTCAGAAATAAAACTCAACAATAAAATGATAATGAAGCATATTTATGTATTTTACGATATAAAAGTATCCCTAGAGTAAGAAAAAAATTACATTGGTTGTAGCCTACATGCCGTTCAGTTAGTATAAGCTATATCTATAGTTAATATTTTTGTTGTTGTTGTTGTTTTTTTATACTATAACCAATAGTTTGGGTCATTACTCCAATCTAGTTCTATTTTGTGGCCCTGAATCCGAAACGTTTGAGAACTGCTGTAGTAGATAATCGTAGTATGGAAGCCCGTTTCCGCAACATTAAAATAAAAAATGCCAAATAGAATGTCATACTCATAAGATACTGTTGTGGGGAAAAAGTATTCAACTATTCATCCTAGTTAAATAAAAGGAGATCGATGGATTTCACTTAGTCGGCACATTTATTCATATCTTTGCAAAGAGAGAACAGTCATCATACAGCCCTTATGGCACTGCATTCTGCCCTGTTCTGATCTGGACAGCGTTCGTTCCCCCTTTCTTACAACAATGGAAAGTAGTCAGAGTAATAAAAATTTCAGACACTTTGGTTAACAGTAACATCATATGAATAAACCATGAGAAAGAATCTGATTTGTTATGGGAAGAAGCTATGTCTGGTCTACAAACAGCAGCCTGCAGAGAATTGTGTGGCCTTGAGAGAGAAACAGACTGAGTGAAAACTTTTATAGTGAGTAAATAGGATAAATTAATATATAATAGAAGAGAGATAAAAAATTTCCGACAACGAATACAAAGTATCAATTATGAGATATTTTACTTTATGAGTAATCATTCATAGTTATGACTTTGAAACTTGAAATTATGACTTTGAATCTCATAATTAAGTCTTTCTATTTTATTCTTTTTATTTTCATGTGGTGGAAAAAGGCTATATATATATATATATATATATATATATATATATATATATATATATATATATATATATATATATATATATATATATATATATATATATATATTTTTTTTTTTTCCTATTATTTTATTTATTTATTTATTTATTTAAGTTTATTTTTTCTGTCAATGTACTGTCAATGTACCGATAACCGGTTTGAGATTTTAACATAAATCTATAGTCATGATTGATATTCATTTTTGATTGAGTATTTTTGTATTCCATGATATATAATTTATAAAATATTTATTTCTGCTTGATATTTCAAAAACATGTTTGTTTTTTTTAGATATGAAACGTTTATACCTTGTAGTTGTGCTGCTTTTAATTTGAAAGTCGACGTGGACAGCTTCCGGTTTTGCTCCAAATCTCCAGCTAGCTTAACTAGCTATGTTGTTGCTAGACGACACCATCTCTCACACCGTAGAGTAAACACTAGCCTCTTGTGAAAATGACGGTGGTAGTTTAGTTTAAACAACATCAGCACGAAATGGTTCATTGGCTGCATCATCTAAAGCAAGTCTTATTCCCGGAGACGAGTTTTTGTTTTCTGGATAGAAACCTTCAGGTTGCAGTACAGCTAGCGTCTCTTCAGTGACCTCGCATTTTAACACTAATAACCAAGGGACCCAGCTAAGCTGAAGCATTTTAGCTGAACAAAGGGATGGAAACTTTACGAGAAGCAAGAGTTTTCCTACTTACATGACCTTTGTTTACCATTTATGTTTAGCGAGACTAACAAAATGTCTTTGGAGGCCAGTGATTTCCCATCTGATGAGGACTGCGAAGAGCTGGTGAGTCTGTCATTAAAAAGGGTTTAATAATCATTTAAAAACACTCATTAGATGACTAAATGTAAAACTCCTCAATTAAAGATAGAGTTATATGATTATTACAGTTCTGTAGTATCTGATTATTTCATGGTGCTTAGTGTAAAAGTATTTAACCAATATATATCACCAATTTGACATAATTAATTCAATTCAGTTTATTTCTATAGCGCCAATTCACACCACATGTCATCTCAAAGCACTTTAAAGTTCACCACATCATACAGTCAAATTGATTCAAAGTTTTCTATCTAAAGAAAACCAGCTGATTGCATCAACTCATTGACTCAAATGCAATCCCTCACACTAAGCATGCTTGCAGCGACAGTGGAGAGGAAAAACTCCCTTTTAACAGGAAGAAACCTCCAGAAGAACCAGGCTCATTGTGAGCGGCCATCTGCCGAGGCCGACTGGGGTTCAAGGAGACAGAAGCAGAGATACAGAAAGCATGATGGACTTTGCCACAGTTCCAACTAAATCAATCGTAGGGTCTGCTTGATGACCCATATGCACACTTTACATTATTTCATGTTCTGTAGAACAAGAAATATGAAATGGTTAAATGTTGAAATTGTCCTCCTTTAAGGAAGCAACCCAGTACCATCTTGCTGCAAGCTTTACAAACTGCACCACAATGCAGCCCTTAAAGTTATGCAATAAGTTTTGTTTATTTACAAATGTTATACTTTGATTGTTTATGCTTTGGCATATAAAAAAATGTATTTTTTTTATTTCTCTAATAATTAGTAGGACAAGGAAGCTTTTTCACTCAAACATTTGATGCATATTGGAAATCAGCTGGATTGAGTTTCAAGGCCAAGTTGTTATAAAACCATATGGTTTGCTTGATTAAGATGATTTTGAAGTTTGGTTTCTCAAAAAACAACAACAAAAGAACTGCTACACAGCTCTTTACTGAAAAATGATCCCCAAGATAAAAGACATTCAATGAACCCAGTCCTGTTGGTTTGACCAATATTACATTCACCAAGCTAATCATATTGCTGCAGAGAGAAGAAGAAATATAAACAAATTGTTGACAATCAAAATGGAATAGTTTAAATAAGCTAAAGTAGTACTAGTTCATGTTGCAGTTAGAGCCTGTGGAAAATCATAAAGCTATCCTAGTTGGCACCAGCAGTATGCACTGTCTAATTATTAAGTTGGGTCCTGAAAATGATCCCAGTAAGTAATTATGTAAAATAAAGCTATTTATATGCATAAATCAAGCAGAATACTATGGCGATAGCTGTACTGCTCCACTTGTGAAAGCAACATCTGTTGGGCTCTTTTTGGCATCAAGACAATTACTCTTATTGCCACATCGCCAGACAGGACACTGAAAAAAAATGAATAAATAAAGGGAGTTAGGATTCTGTAAAATCTGTGAAAAGTGGTGTAGTATATACTAATACCGACTGATCAGCTTAGACACGTATCCTTCTTGTGATGGTATTGACCCTAACACAGGAAACAAAAGAGATACTTTACTGGATATTATCTTTAAAAAAAAAAAAAAAAAAAAAACATGATACACCCAGGACTGGTTGCCAGTCCATCACACCCATCTGGAGCATTTTACCACAAAACTTTTTATTTTTTCTCATGACGTTTCCCTCACTTCAACTTGTTCCCACGGGGGGCAGACGTCTAAAAAAAACTCTGGAACTTTATGCTCCTTTAAAACCAGCTTAAATATTTCTTATTTGGTGTCTATCTGTTTTTCCTGTTCAAATCACAACTTTGCAATATTGGAACCATCATAATGTGGTGGTTTATTATTTTCTCAGGTGGAGGATGGTTTCACTCTTCCTGCTGATATCCCAGTGAAGGTAAGCTGCTCTTATATCTTTCCTATTTCTTGTTTACAATTCTCAAATAGAGGCTTCAATTTCTTATAAATATGCTTTTATTTTGGTTCAACACCTGTTTATTAGGGAACATCGAGGAAAAAAATGACTGGCAAGACCCTGTCTTCTCCAAGTAAGACACCTCATAAGTTAGGAATGATTACAAGCAAAAACAAAACACACTTTACTGATTTTTCATTGGCTCTTTTAGGGTCTCCTTATCTCTGCAGTCTAAATATGAACTCAAAAAGAGCAGCAGTGGCAGCCTGGAGACTGCCGAGGTCCTCCTTAGGGGACACTAGAGGCGACATCTCAAGGGAGCATTGTTCGGCTCGCCACACGTCCCTCAGCAACGGCCATGGTAGGTAGGCTTCAATTTAAAAACAATGCTGTGCTCCTCAGAGGGGAGCTTTTCAAAGAAAGCTGGGAGAAGATACAGTATGTGATTTATTCCCTGCTGATATCATTTTCCTTTTTTTTTTTTTTTTTTCTACATTTGTAGATGTGCCCTACATGTTGGCTTCAGAGTCTGACAGTCCAAAGCTGCTAAAACACAAGTCAGCCATGAGGAAGCAGCACCTTCTTTCATTTAATGGTAAGAGAATGTCTTAAAGTTTGCAGGTAGTGAGGCTGACCATCAGAGAAAACTGAATTCAGCTAATTCTGAGCAGAGAGATTTTTTTTCCCTTTTGATTTTATACTCCATGTCATATCATACAGGTTTTACTCTGGGTGCTGTAGACCTCAAAGACAAAGAAAGCATGTATGACGAGATCCTTCACCTTAAAAAGGTAAAGAAAAACACAACTGCATCAGCTTTTATAATTCTCCTAATTGCTCCTCATTCTTCATTTTAAGAGGTGCCGGTCTGTCCCCTTTTGCCATTTTATTCTTTTGTGTCCCCCCCTAGATTATTTATATCCATTTTGACACTAATGATTCAACTCTGGTTAAATTGCAGTCTTCAGAGGCCAATTACCTGTTAGTTTAGATGTGTATCTCCTTCAGCACAGCTATCTAGTAATTAATGCCATTAGTAATCCTCCTTAGAGCCTGATTGCATCACGAGATGCAGATTCAGATGTTTTATGCTGGATGCCTCTAAAAGTTGCAGAGTTTTCTCTGCAGATACTACAGCAGAGAAATATGTTATAGTCAATTTGTTTGTTTTTTTTGCCAGATCTTGGGAAATAATTAGTTAAATTTTATACCCCGAATGATTTTTACTTATATTTCTTCTTGTATTGCGTTGGAATTAAGCCAAACATATATGGAATAGTAGGGGAAAAATTATAATAAAAAAACAAAACATAAAAATTTAAATAGGCCCAAATTAAAGTAGCAGTAATTCATACAATTGAATATAAAAGTAAATATAAGGGGAATTTTGGAGGCATATTTATTATTGAAAGCTATCTGCATTGGTTGCACCAGATGACTGTTCTCCCCACATGACATTTTCAAGTTAAATCAAAGTTGAGAAACCCGCAGTTAATGCTACATTGAAGATAGAAATACTTTGAAATTTTGAATCCAAATGCATAAAATAATTCCAAAATAAATAAAAAATATGTATGTGTATCTTATACATTGAAAGTAATTTTAATGACTATTACAGAGCAGTAATATGGGCGGGACCGTCGTCCGCATGATATATGTGATCATCTAAATCTCTGATAAACTAACAGAATAAGTGATGTTTTCTTAAAAATTAGTAGTGAGTGTATCTAGATAAGAGGTACTACTGAAATATTATATTTTTATGCATTTAACATGTATTAGATATTCTTTAATCTCTATTTGGAAGTGGTTGCTTTTGTAATGAAAATATCAAAATTACTACATCTTCAATTTTCCTGATCCAAATTTTTCTTGTGGGTGCTATAGGGGTGCCATTAACTTTTCTGGGGTAGCTATAGCACCCTCTAGTGCCCCCCTGGCTCTGCCACTCAGGTTGCAGAACACTAACCTGACAACAGCCAGATGCATGTCTCGCTCCGCCTAGCTCCACTCACATGTGAGTGGAGCTAGGCGGAGCGAGACATGCATCTGGCTGTTGTCAGGTTAGCAGAACACAGGCCCCTGACAAATTAATAAAAACCCATTTAGCCAGTGTAAAGAAAAGCAGTTATGTGACTCAGATAGATATTCTACTTCAGCAGTAACCTGCCTTGGTGTACCCTGGTTTGATCAGGGGTCAGATTTCATGAAAAACATAAGGAAAACATAATTGACTCCCAAATTCTTAAAATAATACCTCATTGCAAAGAAAAATAAAGAGATATACTATGGTTGATGTAGTGGTTTGTTTAAAGGAACAAAATTGTAGGAAGGAATGAAATAATAAGAAGTGGGAAAGGAAAAGAAATGGACCTGGTAACCTTTTTGATTTAAACAGATCAGTTAGAAATATAATCTAAACTCTATAAAATGAGTTCCAGCTATTTATGACATTTCTGCATTTCCACTGATCTATATATTTGAGTTTGCCTGGCTAGTTCCAGAGTTACCACGTCAATGTTTGCCTGTGGATTTCTCTGTTTTTGAATGGACTGTGTGCCCCTGTATCGTCAGAGTCTCCAGGCTCAGAAGTCTGACAACCAGCAGATGAAAGCCAAACTACGGCACCTGGAGGAAGATAATGCTAAAAGAGAAAAACAGATTGAAGAACTCTTGGACCCCACTAAGGTTTTGTCACACAATTGTTTTTAAATGTCAACAAGAATGTTTTGTAGATTTTAAAAGCTTTTTTTTTTTTCTTCCTTTGTGGGCAGGGCTCTGAATACACCCGAAGTTTGGTTGATAAGAAAAAAGAAGGGAGTGTGGTGAGTTTGTGCATTTTGTTGGTGAACATATGAAAAAATATAGTTGGAAAACACTTTAAACAGCTTTTGAAGATCAAATCTCTTCCTTTAGATCGTCAATGGGCTGAAGCAGAGAATCCTAAAACTGGAGCAGCAGTGTAGAGAGAAAGAAAATGCTTTAAGGTCAAATAAACTTTCATCACATTGCCAATTCTCTGCTTTTTTCCTCCCAATCTGAAATATTTTCAGATTATTTATTTATTTTTTTTTATTTCAATAGTAAATTGCAAAGTGAGTTGAGGACCACTAACCTGGAGGAGCTGAAGATGACTGTAGAAACATACTTTGAAGAGGTATTTTTTCATGAATTCTGCTGTACTGTCAGTTGTATAGATTTTAAATCTCAATGTGACGCTTTTAAAATGTAAATTTTTACCAGTGTTGCTGTGATTTCAGATCCAAAGACTGAGGGTACTTTTAGATGCTACGGAGAAAAGGTGAGAAGAATCAAAGCACAAACAGCCACCATCTTGGATCACATCATGTTGCAGGAAACAAAAAATACAAAACTGTCCATGATGCCCCGCTGTACAGGGAATCAGAAAGGACAAAATGCAAAGTGTTTGCTTTATTATCTCGTGATCACAATTTGATGGCTAATTTCTGATATACATTTTCTGGAAAGATTTGACCTGCTGATTTAGATAAAAGATGATTCTGACTTCTCATAATTATCACAACAAGCATAAATAACAACACTTGCAATTATTTTTTTCATTGAATCTTACTGCTTTGAGCAGACAGCAGTTATTTAAATTAAGATTACACTGTGAAGAAAATAGCTCAGTTTGGATTTTGTTTTTTATTTTTGTTGTTATAAGTCAAAAGCTGTATTTATCCACCAGTGTTTGATAGTACACAGCTTTACACAACTATTGAAGAAAAAAAAGATTTTAATCTCTAAAAAAAGGCAGAAAAAGGTCAAAATAGCCCTAGGCTAATTAAACGGTCTAGAATGAGCAGATTCTGACCTTCAAGCTGAGTTATACAAAAAAAGGCTGCAAGCTCCTCTGGTTTCATTAAAAATCTGCGCCAGACTGTCGATATTCTGATGAAGGTAAAAAGGCAATTTAGCAATTGCTGTATTTCCATTAGGAAAGCATTATTCTAGGATATATATTTTTGTCCCAGGATAACTCATTAAAAACCCACTACTACTTGTTGCCTTGGCTTTTTTCCACAAGTAGTAATATGTAGTTGTTGATCATGTGACTAGAGGGATGTAAGAGTGTTTCCGCTGTAGTTTAGCAAAACATACAGTCTGATACGGCTGGAAAAAAAACAACAACTCATCCTTCCTTTGATTGAAAAACATGATTTTTTTTCAAAATTTCTGTTTGCATTCAGTAAATTAGTTAAGGCTCAAAGAATGAATTGGATCAATTTTGATTAATCATTTATTGATAGAATCGTCAACTAATTAAGTAATCGTTGGATTATAGAGACTGTAAAACATTCCTTTAGCTGACAGGGCAACCCACTTAGGGCCGGATTTATCAAGATCCAATTTTGCGTGCAGTAATTTGCGCTCGCAAACTGGAATTTTGCGCGAGGGGCTGAACCATGGTTTGCGGGTGATTTAACAAGAGCGATTGCGTAACTGGTGGAAGGTGCAAAACTGTTGGAGACGCCCTATTTAAATGATGGTTTTGCGCGTTTTGTGGTTTGCGGCAAAGTAGTTTGTAGTCTGTACAGACTAGTGCATTAAGAAATTTAAATCTTACAGTGACCCCCAACAAAAAAGATAAATTAGTAAATATATATATATATATATATATATATATATATATATATATATATATATATATATATATATATATATATATTTATAAATTGGCAACCTTTATTCCCTAAGGTGGTATGTGCTGCAGTAAAAAAAAAACAAAAAAAAAAACAGGTGTTTTGTATTGGCCTGTGACTGTGGATGAGATCCCCGCAGCATTTGGCACGTTGCTCCACAGGCGCAGGGGGAGAACCCCGACCCCGTCGGACAGCACTTCTGAAAAAACGAGATTGGGAGATCCCAGCTCACGCTGCAACCGTACGCTGGAATGACCCAGATGCAAAAAAGTGCAATGTTGCAAGGAGTTTTGTGATATCTGGTATTGCGTGGGTCCTCCTTGCGGCTGGCTCCAAATCCATTCGGAGTTCCCCCAACAGCTCCAAAATGGCAATGCTGGATAAACTATATGTTTTGATGATTGTTTCCTCGTTCATTGCAAAAATATTCACACGGAGTGAAAAAATGCGTTCTCTGCGTCTCCTTGCTTCATTTCCATGTCTCCTTCTTGCGACAATAACCGCTGCCATGTGTGCGCAATTACGCATACAGACCATTTGCACTTTCTTTTGAAACGTGTTAAATATAGAGTCAGATACCGTTAGCAAAATTGCGTTCAAGTTTGATAAATCACTTTGCGAGTGCTAAATTAATATATTTACATGTTCTCCTCCCACAAGACGCACTTTAGCGTGTAAACGCCCCATATTGCATATTCATTGCAGAAAAAGTACTAAATGGATCAGAGGCGCTATTTAGCACGTTTTAAAGACCAATGCTTTTAGCACGCTGTTGATAGATCAGTTTGTACATTTTTTAGCGTGCGCAGTGAAATAGCTCACGTTTTAATACACGCAAACCTTTGATAGATCCGGCCCTTAGAGCACTAATTATACCAAGATAGTAAAAATAAATAAATAAATAAATATTTTGTATTTAAAATAAAAAACTTTTAATCTGTCAATACGCTTTTTTCCAGAAAGCCTCAAGTGGAAAAGTTTTACTTTAACCTTGTTTAATTTCGTAAAAAGTCTTCTTTAAAGAATCTTTGACTATCCGATTGAATATTCGGCTATCCGATTATTAATCGATGAATAGAAGAAATAATCGACAGATTAATCAATTTGCAAAATAATCATCAGTTGCAGGCCTAAAATGTATTTTTTAAGTTACATTCTGCGTGGTCATTTAGAATGATGCTTTGAAACTAAAAGGAGCAAACTTTGACTCTCTTACAGTCAGTAACAGCGTTCACCTTGAACAGTATCGATGCTAACAGGAAGTGTTTATGTTTGATGAATTTAGTCATCGCTAAAACTTCACCTTTTTGTCTGAGCTTGATCAGCTTGTTTAGGTCTCCGTCTGCATGTTTCTCTGCAGCAGTCGGGCAGAGAGTAAATGCTCTCAGAGGCAGCAGAAAGCTTTAAGCTCTACTGTTCAACGTTTGGCTGAAAACGTGAAGCATCTGCAACAGGAAAACGCAGCGCTCAGAGAAGAGCTCGGCACGGAAAGTCCTGCTGCTGGAATTAAAGGTCTTTACATATCCTTTACCATCCATATGCATTGAACACCAGAAAAACATGGGAATTACCTTTTTTTTTTAAAAATGTTTAAAACAGGCTGTAGTTTTTTTTTGTATCATTGTGTTTGGCCTCACGTTAATAAGTACAAAAATCCTGAGCAAGCATGTATAAGTCCTCCCTGTCTAAAACCATGAATCATCACTACAATATGTTTAATAAATGTTAATGTGATAAGGGTGAAATATGCATTTGTGTGATTGTAGGTTACAAAGAGTGGAGCAGACAGCGGTTGCTAAGAAGACTGTTAGAGGTGGAGAGGGTAAGAAGAAGTTTTTACTGGTCATGTTTGTAAACACACTGTGTGGCTTAGACGTATAAAAAAATCTCCCACATTAATATTTTGTCCAATCAGAGGCTGGAGGATAGTAGAAGACACACCCATTCAGCTAACGGCATCGTCAGATTGGATAAAGAGGTCCAGGCTACGCCTGTAGAGGCTCCAGGGTTTACCATGGCAACAGAGGCAGCGGTCTCTGTGGGAACTGTCACTGAGCAAGATGGAGAGGTTTCTGCTCTCAGGGAAAACGTCGGCCAATTAGAGGAGGAGATGGTGAAGCTTCAGGAGGAGCTGACAAATAAAAAGTAAGTAAGCAGTCTGTTTAACAAACATATTATCTTCATTAATAATTAACAGTTTGGGCATCAGCTTAAGCAGAAATTCCTCTGATGGAGTTTTATTGGACTTTACCTAAATAGAAAACTTTTAAAGAAGTGACTGACATATAACTATTTGAAGAAGTTGTATAAGTAAAAAGAAATAAAGATTTAAGTATTTTTTTTATATTAACCATTATATTTAACATCTAATCAGAAAAAATGTACTATGATACTTTGAATCTTTTAAGGTTAATGCATTTTGTGTCAAATGTGCATTTATTTATCATTTTATTAAACAGGAATAATTAAATGATAAAAGGCTGTCATCTTCTTTTTACTATTTCCCCAGCAGCTTGAAAAGTCAAAGTTCTGTTTTTGTGTATTTTTGTGTTCACAGTGATGAACTGATGCAGATGATAAAAGAAAGAGATGAACTAGCAAAAGAGACTGAATGGCTGAAATCTGAACAGAAAGAACAACTAGACAGAGTGGAGCAGCAGCATAGGTAGGTTGTTAAATCCTCTGAGCCGTTTCTGGCGACACATCAATCATTAAAAGTCATTAAATAATTATATTTTAAATTTGCAATATGTAAATATATCGCAATATATTATATCATGATGTATTTGCATATTTGCGTGGAACTGCTTCTGGTTGATTGTAAAAAAAAAAAGCTAGAAAAGGGGGGGGGAATGCTAATTTCAACAAAAGTGGCCGGAAATCGAGGAATTGCAGCCAGCTGGCGGTAAAGACGAAGAAGGAATTTGCCATGTATAAATGAGAGTCATAGGTACTTGTTGATGGCTTTAAAATTATTTCCAAGAACATTAAAAAAGCATTAAAAAGCTTTAAAATAGAGTTGCTCATTCCTGTATAAACCCTGCAACAGAAGATCTAGTCAAATACTGAGGGAAAAAAATGTTAAAGCCGACTCACTGTATCCAAACTGAAAACAGCTTTTTGGAATTAGATTAATAAATAGCCTTTTTGGATGCACTTTGTTTTGACTTTAATAAAAAAAAATTTTAAATGGCCAAAATCTGTGTGTATAATCTTAAGCACTAATAATATTTGATAGTTTGCTCAAACCAGTTTTATTGTAGGGGTGCGAAGTAGCAAGGACCTGTATAACCGCAACATTATTGCTGACATTTGCTTTAGACTCATATTTTGGTTTTACCCTATCAAACAATATCCGCCACTGTTTTCTAGGTGCTTTAGCATCTGGAACTGAATCTCTTCCCAAAGCTCGATGCATATTTATTTCTGTAGTTTGTGCAAATGTTCTGTCTGCAAAGCACAATTATCAAATATAATAAAAAAGAAAAAAACTAAGATCTTTAGTGACTGAGGAGAACTAGTTTGTACAATAGGATTAAACAACCCTTTGAATATATCCCGCCAAATATCAGATCCAAAGAGTCTTTTATAATTGCAATGGTGCAATCACTGATATTTCAATCACAAAGAACAAGTCTCCTAGATATGAATAACTTCTAAAGTCTAGATATTGACCAATACATCAACCAGCATTTTTTTTTTAACCACTATTGGTGTTTTGGGGTTGTTTTTTATTGCATCAGCATATCGATCTCTAATCGCTAATGTGCATTTTTACATATGTAGCTGTTTATGCAGCCATTAAAATGCACAGTTTCTGTGCCGTCTGTTGTTTCAGGCAGCAGGCATTCAATAGATCAGCACCTTATAAGATTAATTTTCTATAACTAATAGAACTGCGTCAGCATAAAGAAGGAACTATTGATCTTAACAGTGCACCTTCCCCAGTTTATATGAAGACACTCGTCGTATGTACTGTAGGTTATTATGTTCTTTGTGTAGCATTCAGTGGCTACTGTTTCCATTGCTCTCCATCATATCTCCTTGTATGATTTTAAACTCATCAGAAATTGTCACCATTTAATTTTTTTAATGTTATTTATTTTGCTTTTCTGTTCAGACAGGAGTTAGAGCAGTTGTTGACGAGGGTTCAAACTCTGGAGGATGACAGAAGCAAACTTGTAAAGGCTGAGGTCTGCTTACCCCCTCCTACAGTGGAAGAGCATCTGGAGGATGCTCAGCACCGAGCAGGTCAGGAGGAGGAAGAGGAGAAGGAAAAAGGGGAAGAAGCACAGAGGATGGATGCAGAGATGGCTAAAAAAGAAAAGGCCGCTTTGATTATTCAGACGAACTGGAGACGGCACAGACATAGGGTAGCTAACACGCTGCAGTTACATAAAGGAAGTCATTGATGCTTGAGAGAACTATTACCGTATGTAAGGAATACCTCCCTGTTTTCCTACTGATTCTGTCTGCAGGACACCGTGATGCTGCAGCCAGCGATAAGGGGGCATCTTTTCCGAAATTCATGGCTGAAGAACAATCAGAAAAACACAGAGAATAAGGTATTCCTACAACACTATACGGTTTTTTACGTAGGTATTCATCGCTCTTAACCCCATTCACGTTTTGATGTAAACAGAGTAGTAGAAAAAAAGAACACATGGTTCTGGACTAATGCCTCCGTTAACAGGGTCATCAAATTAGCCATTAGCAAATCATTTTTTTTCAGTGTTTTATTTGTTTGTGCATTTTTCTGTCAGCATTAAAAAGGTGGATTTAGATATCAAGTAGTGGTCCATGAAGAAACTGCAACAATCTTTAAACACCCTGTAGATCAGACTGTAGGTTAGTTTAAATCTAACAAAGCATTAAGATATCATGCATTTCATCTGAAACTTCATTACACCTAAAACAGACACTAGATGGCTCTAAAAGCCACAGAGTTTGCTTGTTTGCTTCCTTCTCATCCCTCTGTGTCCTCTCTGTCTCTCCTCAGTCTAAAGCTTCTCTAAGCAGCAGAAACTCTGCTGATGGAGGGCCAGATGTTGCTGCCCTGACACTGATACAGTCTGCCTTCAGGGGACATTTGGCTCGTTGTGCTCTTGCAACAAAGAGGTTACTCGTCTTTTACATAGATCATTTAAAAACTGCAGCAACAGTTTTATTTTAGAATGATTTTGGTTTTATTTGTGCTTCAGCTCAGGGTTTACAGTGCCTTCTCCAGATGAAAGCTATCCGCCTGACTTTTCAGATGGTCCTAGCAGAAAAGGTAAGGTTTGACTGCTTGATGTGCATGTCTATAAAGAAGTGGGACAAAACCAAAGGGCACCGCTTTGCTAGAATTTTAAACTTCTCGGTGAAAGGATTGCTTTTGCAGTCATAAGAAAAACTTAAGTATAACCCTCCTGCTTACTTAGGATTTAAGAGGGATAGCAGCAGCCAGAAGGCGGTAATCAAATGTACCTAATTAAAGGTATAATGGAGTTTTTTTTTCTGGGTGGATCATCTAAATAAGTGGTCCTCCTAACTGTCAATCATTCTGGTGATATGTTTACATAAGGACGTCCTACTTGTTTGTCCCCATTTCACTTTAAGAAATATCTGCCTGCTGAGAATGACCTCCCCTAGGTGGTATTCTTAATATTTTCATATTTCTGATGCATGGATACCCTAAAATTTAGAGTTTTGGTGGACAGATAAATTTGAATTAACATGATTTCTTCTTATATGGAGACACGTTTTAGTCGATGTGCTACAGTAAGCGTCTGATTAATCTATTCCCTGCACATTGGATGGCATTTCCCGCTTTTGCTATCAACACCATTCTATATCATTTCTGACAAAACATTAAGAATATGTTTAAAAGTTCCCTTTTTCGTTTTTATCATATTTCAATTTGTTTTCTCATCAATATGCAAAGGGGAGGTATTTCTCTGCATTTATCTGTTCACCAATACTCTAAATGTTTGGGCATCCATGCATATGAAGTATGAAAATATTAAGAATATGTTTAGAAGTTCGCTTCTCGTTCATATTGCAATCCGTTTTCTTATCAGTGTGCGACAAGCATAACGCGGTAGTGAGTCTGACATAGTGGAAAAATTGCATAGCTCCTTTTAGAAAGTAAGCTTGTATCAGTGATGCAAACAGCAACTTTTAAACGGCGTGCACAAGGAGAAATGGGCTTGTGCACGCTCTCGTATGCGTTTAATAGGCATGTGCATTATGTGCATTTTTAGGAGGGGGGGGGGTCTTTTCAAAAATTCTCAAAAATCCTCCACTAGAATAGAAAATTCCTTTATTGTCCAACAATGGGGAAATTCTGGTGTTTACAGCAGCAAAAAGATCATAGAAAAAAATGGTCACACAAATATGGACCATAGAAAAATGTATAGGAATAACATAATAGTGAAGATTTAAAAGATTAAACAATAAAATACTGAACTGTAAAGTGTTTTAACAATATAATACTGTGCACCGGGAGAATAAATAACCATTATACAGCTATGGACATTTTAAAAGCAATGGATATTTGAAAAGAGCAGCAAACAGAGATGTGCAAAATGACAGCAGAATGTTATTTAACTGACTAAGATAGAAACTGTGCAAAATCAGCATGAATGTAACAACTTATTGAGGTTGTTGGGAACAGTGATGGTTAAAGAGTCTTACAGCTGCTGAGAGGAAGGATCTGTGATAACGCTCCCTGGTGCATTTAGGGTCCAATACACCTTTGATTGATCATTAGCAACTGTAACCGGATATAAAAGCAGGAGGTTTTTACTGTTTGGTAGAAACACGTCAGAATTAATCTGATTGAAATAACTGTTGCTAGCCATCAATCTTAAAACAGTTGAAAGATGATTTACAAAAAAATATGAATCCATCATTCTAAATTGAGAGAGTATTTTCAAGAAGCATCTATTTTAAAATTGATAGTTATCTTCCCAGAAAACTAGTCCATTATCTGGCAGCACAATCATCTGACAAACTGCAAAAAAAAAAAGAAAAGACAAGAAGAACTGACTCTACATTCCTCGTTTAGCATTTTGTTCAGAACAGAACACAAAAGGCCTCATTTCAGAGAATCTGTAGAAAGATTGTTAGGATACTTCTGAAATATTTTCCTTTAATTTAAAAGTGATGTTCAGTAAAAAATATTGTTTCACATTTTCTCGTAAATCCCTTGAACTAATCGTCGAACTCTAGTGTTGAGGCTTGAAGATTTTGGTTAGTTTGAAGACACAGGATCTGACAAAGTCACTGAGTGCTTTGCAAGAAACCTTGTTTCAAATGTGAGGCCATGTAGCTGATAGCTGAATCTGGACCCAAACAGGATTATCAGCAGGGCAGCGAATCACAACAGCAGCAAACATTGAAGAACAGATGTCTGGAAATAAAGGGAATCAAGTCAGAATCCAGACTTGAAACCGATTTAAATGCTCTTGTTGGACTTTCAGAAGGTTTTGCAGAATTTAATGTCTGGAGACCTTGGTTTACTGGAGACATTTTGTAAATTAGAGAGAGTTAGAATTCCTCTAAAATATATTTTTTTTAAATCTTAAGGCGATAAACAAAAAGAGTTGATCCACTAGGTACTATAACTTAAGATTATGTAAGGTTTCCTATTATTACATTCCCTGTTTGTTGACTACATTCCTTTTCCTCATTGAAACTATTTCTAGTGTTGGATTCAATCTTTTAATAGATGAGGCACAGCAGATGTTTTCTGTCTCTCCTGTATATTTGCGACTCTCTGTCTGAATTAATCTCAACATCTCAGTATAATTTGTATAGTCTCTAATGATGGTGGACTCTTTTATAGTGTGGGGATACAAAAATAATTCATCCACATTAAGAATTATACTACAGTTGGAACCACCTTGAGCCCGAGTCGAGCTTCTGCCTTGATTTATACTAAGGTGTGCTACGCTGTACTCTAAAGCTAAGAATTGCCCTTCGTTACTCCCCTGACACCTTTATGAGTAGTGATGGATCTACCTGAAGTGCTTATCTAATTCCATGACGGCGCGCTCCTCTGCAGCAGCCAGGCCTCTGACAGTCTGCGGTAAAAGACTGATGATGGCACTCAGCAGACCTGCCAGCCTCTAATGATGCTATCTCTTATGACCTGTAAAGATTGCTATCTAAGACCTGACCAGAAGGTCTCACTGAGCTTTCAGGGACTCCCTGGTTCCTCTAGCGTTAAATCACAGAGGTTTGGTCAGCATTTGGGTCCACAGAGCAAAATGCTGAGCTCAGCTTATTCTATACATGCTTACAAGCCTGTTGCTGTGTTTGACATGTGACTTATTCACTTAAGTGAGTCTGCAATGCACCACTTTAGCAATTTTGGAGCAAAGGTGGGGCTTTAGTTCTCTTTTCTTCTTCTTCTTTTTTTGCAACAAAAAAAAGCAATAACTAAGGTGTTATAACTTGGTTCCCTAAGGGCAAAAACCCTCAATTGAATCTTTAGTGATGCACCTTCTTATTTCATCACAGCATGTTATCTTCTTTAGTTCTTACATACAGTCAGTTATACGAGAACAAAAAACAAAACAAGATAGGACTGATATAAGAGGCTGCTAATGGGGGGAAGGCATAAACACTGCTAAAAAACTCTATTTTCCATATACCTGTGCCTCCAAACTAGAAAATGTTTCTAGACTGCAGATGTAATGTTGTATAGAAGAAGCCACAGGAGATCTGTTAGGAGTAGCTTCAGAGGGATTTAAAAGTCTAAAGGAGGTAATAAAGAAGCATTTCTTAGTTCTGGAGTCTAGAAATAAATGAAACAGATGATATTGATATCATGTGGACTGGGATGTGGACAAGAGATGTCTAAAATCTGATCGATTTAGTTCATAAATGTAAAGACACATCAGGCTTTTAGATCTTTGTTTTAAATACTGAAAGGGGAAATTAACCGTATTAGTTCAAGGTGGTTCACACGTGCAGTTTTTTTTTGCTGTCCATATTACTCTTTCTAGCAGATGTTTTTTATTTTAGTTTCACATTTCACAGAATCAGGGTGAACATTTTGAACCGGACCTTCAGATTTTCTTTTTTTTTTTTTTTTACTTGTTATTATTTTTTCTTATTGTTCGGTTTCCACTCAGGTTCGTGATGATTTCCTGTGACAGTAGAGAAGTTACTGATGTTTTTTTTCTTCTTCTTCTTTTTTTTTTTTTTTGGTCAAGGTTCTGATTATCTTGGTAAAAATGCCAAAAAGGAACAAGACCTCGATCCTGTCACAAACCCTTTTGTCTCCGGCAGGTCACACGCACAAGGTTAGAGGAGAAAACAAGACGTCACCTTTCCTCATTTGATTTTTAGATTCACACACACATGAATGTTGGTTGGTAACATCTGGTTTGCATACTCTAAGCTGTGAATACCTTTTCTGTTCTTTATAGCTCAAAGACATCCCCGCTCCACGGCAGAGTTGGATGCAGACACCGGAGTCGAATCCGATGATTCAGATGAAATCATTGTGTCTCCGTCACGTCCACTGAGAAGGAGAGAAGTCCTATTACATTAGATCTTCCACACTCTTTTCCTTTTATGTTTTATCATGACGTCCTTCATACGCTTTATTATAAATTATATTTTAAATGAGAAAAATAATGAACATATTGGCTTCCTAAAAGAATCAATAATTAAAAGTTTAGTTATTGTTTTTCTTTATATAATTTTGAGCCATTAATGATTCTTTGGTTTAACTGCTGAAGAAGCTGCTCCTGATTAATCATACTGCAGTGACCCGTATTACTGTAAATTCACCTGATTGTGTCAGAATGCCTGACATGAAAACCATGCAGATGATCCTACAAAATAATCATGACCTGGAGGTGTGAACCGAGTCTCATTGATGCCAAACTGTGAATGAACGACAAATCACTCTACTGCAATACTGAACTGTCATTCTGATGTAGGAAACCAGGGTGGATGTGTAGTTCTATTAAAAGCTCTGCTCTAAGGAAAGCATTGATTTGTAAAGCTATCAGAAAAGAACTGATGACTGCAGTCCTCATTCTGAGGATATAACCTAATGTGCGAGGCGTTCAATTAAGTCATGCCCTTAAAAATTTAGTTTCAGATCGTTTTTTATTTTAATTTTATGAGGCTCTTTCGTGTGTTTTTTGTTATATATGAGTTGTTTTAGAGGAAATGTTATTTTTACTACTACATTGCTTTTTTCACAACAAAATCTCAATAAAGTCTTGTTTTCCATTAACTGTATCATGTGATCTCTTGATTTAGAATAAGTTTAAAAGAATTAGTCATTAAGATTATTTAATTTTTACAGTTCTGTTCGCGTAAGATTTGCGTGTAATAATTTAAAGCCCTCTACAGTGATAAAAAGGAAGCATGATAAATGCACTCAATAACACTTGAAATGCATATATGAAATTAAGAAAAGTTGACATAAAAATTGTTTTAAAAAATTAAGAATAGAAAGAATTGCTAAACCAATAAAAAAAAAGCTTTCACCGTGACCGAAATGCTGCAGTAAGCAGTATTGTTTCCAGTTCTTACTATAATAAGCCGATAGATACATTCTGAACATCACAGCTATTTTGTGTTGTGGCTGTGGAGCTGAAGCATGAAGACTAAATCCTGCAAGAGCCTGTTTAGTTCTGGTCCGGACGACACTAAGAAAACACATCCCGGATGTCCTGAGGGGTCGTTACGGTTCAAGCTTCTTTTAATTTGAAAATGGATTAATATCTGTGTATTTCCTAAAAAAAAGCAAAACTTTAAACTCTTCAGAATGTATCTGAACAGTAACTGTCCAAATAGAAACCAAAGGGAGAATTTGAAACACTTGGAGCGCATTGCATCAGTGATGGAAATGTACCGGTCCCTCTCAAAATATTAGTAAATAAAGTTAAATATTTTCCATAATGTAATGATAAAACTTGAACATTCATATATTTTAGATTCATTGCACACTGAATAGGATATTTCAGGTCTTTTATTGTCTTAATACAGATGCTTTGGCATACAGCTCATGAAAGCCAAAAATTCCTATCTCACAAAATTAGCATATGGTGAAAGCTGATTGGCTGTGTCGTAGGTGGATGTAGGAGAGAGATGAGTTTCTTCAGTTGAACCGTTTCATTCACAACACCTGTCCAATCAATGAGGAATCATAATCAGAAATACTTTAATAATCCCAGGGCGAAATTACTGTCATTACATTACTCCATATGTAATAGAGTGATTATAGGACCAGTTTGATATAACACAATTTCATACAATATATGTAATTAGGGGGTCCCCGGTCCATCTCACCATCAGTTTGGGGGTCCTTGGCCTGGAAAACATTGAAGTCCTTGGTTTATTGGGCACTGAGCTAGGAGGAGAACGTAGAAATTGAATAAAAGGGGCCCTAAATTTCACCCTTGGGTAATGCCATGTAATTTTTGTGGTCAGACACTATTTTTTTTACGTTCCCAAACAATCCATTTTAAACTTATTTAACTTTTTTTATTTTTAAATCTTAAAGTCTTGTTTGTGCCTGTATGACTTTGTTGCCTATTCTATTCTATTTTATTAATTTCTTACAAAATGAATAGAATTTCTTAATTGTAATACCACCATATTACCATCAGGGGGAGCCCTTTTGCGCATTTGCTCTGCACATACACGCACGGTCTGAGAGGCAAAGCTGCCGCAAAGCCCTATCCATCCTCCGGGGCTCTTTTTTCACAAACGCTGTTTGCTTCATGCTCCAACAACACCAGCTGAACCGAACCATCGACAAGCTTTAAAATAAATAAATAAGTAGATAACTGGGCTGCGGGTCAAGAATTTTAACCCCTAATCCCCCACAGGCGGAGGACAGACAAAGCGGTAAGGCTGCAGAGGAAATGCGAGCAGGTTTTAGTGATCCTTTCAATGCGGTCGGGTCTCCAGCCGACTGGCTCGTCGCATCCAGCCCGGTCCGGCCGCGCTGATGCCGCAGCGGCTTCTAGTCTTCACATCCAGCACCGCGGGACCACAGCAGACTAGAGGTGAAGTCCACGGCGCTCCGGACTCCCACACAGACGAAGGACGCCGCTGAACGACAGCCTGCATTAGCCTTTTTTCCCCTCTCTAGGTAGGTGATATTACAGCTTTATTCCTCAACACAAAGCAGCAATTTGCGACATTATTCCTCTCCTTGTTGCCTTGGCGACACTGCGGTAGTTCTAATGGTCGCTAAGCAGGCTGGAGCTGGAGCTAATCCGGGGTTTCCAGCGTTTTTTTTGTCTTATCGACTGGTAATAAATAAGCTCTCATCGTGTCCCTGAGAGGATAGACCGGACTGGGCTGACCTACATGTGCTACATTTTCCATTTTCTGCCCTTTAACGACAATTTCCCCCCATTTAAATCCGATGCCAACCGAGCTTTTGCCACATCCGCATAGATGTGATCATTTTCTCCCCCATCCATTAATCATTTCACTTCATTTCCTGCTCTAATAGTTAATATCCATAGAAAGATGTCCTCTATAATGACTCTGGTTACACTACATTATGTATCTTGACTAAAACCCACCAGACATCACTCATCAATGTTTATAAATGTCATCATTTCGAATAAAAATGTCGTTTTAACTACGCAGCTTCTTATATCTGCAAATCCTCACTTTTATATCGGCGTCAAATATTAGAAATATGAAATCTAGAGTATGATTTTCCATATCTTCTGTATGATGAGGTCATCACACACTGATGGGGCATAAGGTGTAAAATAAATAACAGACTGCTGTTGAACATTTTGTCCTAACATTTGATGTTCTGTTTTATTTTTCATTATTTGGATCAAAATGAGCATTATGATTAAATCATGATAAATTAGGGGTACAAAGCATGCATTTATGTTGGGGTGTTCCTGTTCTGCAGTGGTGAGCATCAGTCCAAACATAGGCTATAGAAAAAATTAGGCATCATAGATCAAATAGCAGGAAAAGTTAATATAATTTTTTTTATGTGAAAAGGTTTTAGTGATAGTTATGCATCACAGGTTTTCTTTCTGATTTTCTGATGGTTCTGCACAGCTGCACACCAGTAATGGTGCTCATGCCAATCCCTGCCCACCACCCAGTAATGAGCACGCCGGCATTTGAATTGGACCATGCAGCGATAAAACAAGGTGGCCTTTTCTGACAAGTCACGTTTTCCTTTATGTTCTCGCCAGCTGCTTGCATGTGCATCCCTTACTTGCAGAAAAGGAAGACAAAGCTCCCAAAGGCAACGTGATAATAGAGAAATGACTTACCTGTAATAAGTAGTTCTGAGTAGTCTTTTGGGATGTATGATGTGTAATTCATTAGCTTTAAATTTTGGAATTTGAATTTTCTAAATGCCCTTTACTTGGCAGATGTTTCTGCAGAATTGAGTAAGCACTTAAACCTCTCAAAACCCTTCAGTTTTAAAGCATTTAGAAATAATAACTAAGAATGCATGAAAATTACACTGTTAAAATGTTCCACAATTCAACCACCTAGTTCATTTTAAGGACATAACGAGCACCAATTAACACAGATATAGCAGCATGTCAAAATGTACCATGACAAGGCAGCCACAGCAAACAGGCATGTCTTTATAACTGCTGTTCAAAGAAGATAAACCTATTTTCTTCGAGAATAAAAAAAACAACTTTCAGTCTTGTTTGAACTGATGCAGCTTGGGTGTTTTACCCAATTTTCATGAATATATTCAGAAACTAGAAAGTTTTGGCTTTCAAATAATGTATCACACATGTCATTTGGGCTTACAGTTCCAAAGTTATTTGCTTTTCCATTTGGGTATGCAAAATAGGGGAGAATCCTAACTTTTAGGCAGAATCCTGAGGGATGAAGCGTCTGAAGAAAACGGCACACTGGAGCGTAGCAGCCTCTGAAATACAAGGCTGACACGTCTGAATGAGGATGTTTGAAATGTACACTCAATCTAAGGGTTGTCGCTTACCATGTAGCCCTGTCTGTGAAACTTCACTTCTTAATGGCTGTGGCGTGTTGCAGATGCAAAGTTGTTCCTGCTTTAAAGTGAAAAAAGTTAACTCGGAGGAAACACAACAGTTTCACTGGAAAAACGATCTAGAAATGAGTAAAAATGTCTTAAATTAAGTGTATTTACTCTTAATTTGAGTAGGTAAATGAGTATTTTTACTCTTAAAATAAGATAATTAGATAATATGCACTTGAAATAAGAAAATGCAATCGTGTTTTCTCATTTTAAGTGTAAATTGTCTTGTTCCTTTGGCAAAATGTCTCTTTTACCTCCTCAATCCAAGAACAAATGCACTTATTTTAAGAAAAAAATATTTATCTAGATTTTGATTTTTTTTTCCAGTGTTTCAGGTGTTTTCTCCAAATCTTAGTCCAAGCTGAGATCTATGGGACATGCTGGACAAACCTACAGAACCTAAAAGACCTTCTGCCAGATAGCACAGCACATTTCCAGGTGTCTAATGGAGCAATGACGTTCTTATTGCCTGATTGTGCCATATAGGCTTCTGCAGGATACAGTTTTAGAAGAAGTGACATTAAGCATCTGTGCTGACTGTGAATTTATCTCCAGCGTCTCCGTGAAGGATCAGCCTACCGAGAGAAGTCACCGTCTGCAGGAAGCAGCGTCAGGATGGCGGCTGTGGTGAACTACTCGCCGCCCTGGTGGGTGAATCTGCTCCATCGGTTGCCTCATTTCAACTTAGAATTCCAAACGGTGAGCAGCGACTTCAGACCGGAAGACTCAGAGTATCAGAAGGTAAGAATAAAATATGAGAGAACGATTCCCTCCCACTCTAAACGTGTCACTCTATTCATCGTGCAGCATCACCTCGTCATCCTGCCTCTTGTCGTGCTCACGCTGTAATTTTGCTGCAGACTGACTGGTTAAGTGGTTTTTGAGGCTCTTCTAAGCTATAGGATCGTAGGCACCCTCTGCATTGATAGGTGTTGTGTGAAAGGCATGAAATGTCCTTAAAGAATAAAGCTGTTACCATCAAACCATTCGGGTGAAGAAATAAGTGAAAAAAAACAATTACTTTGCTGATTGGACGCTTCCATCCCCCTAACTCTGCTCTGGATGTTCTCTGTTCTTCTCCCTATCAGGGTAGAAACAGATAAAGCCACAGCATTTACAGCGCAACACATTCCTGATTGACAGGTGGTTCTTCTGATATAACCCCGAACCTCCAGGCTGGAGCTTTGTGGAGGAAGCCTTTCCAGATTGGAGGAATATTTAA